ATGAATATTCCATATAAGACAACTATGAACAAGATTTCACAACAAATAATTAAAAATCTACGATAAACGATATTTTCTACATCATATATACAATAAACAATTTAATATGCAAAACTACATACAACGAACATGTTTACTTACCCCATGCTAAAAATATTATATAAATTTGTTTTTATTACTCCACATTTTCTATTTAACAAAAAAAAAATCCAAATTTTCTCTCACTTATTAATTCGTAATATTTCATATTTTGTAGAAATCGAACGTCATACTTCTTACTCAAGTTTTTTGATCAACCAGGTTATAAAGGATGTTAATCAATTGAATTAGGAAAAATCATTTTTATCTACACCAAATATCGACTAATATGTTGCAAACCATCTCAAGTATAGAAATGTGTTCTGAACTATACAGACTATTATGTAATACATGGTGAGATACACCAAGTATACGTAAACATGTTAAAAACTATAAATTGGAAGTTTTTGATAAATATTTATCAATTTAGGAGTCAATTTGTAATTATTTTTATTAAAAAAAAATTAAAAATCCAAAAAGATTTAAAAATTACAAAATTTAACAAATCAAAATAAAATCCATAAAATTTTAAAATTTAAGGAAAAAATAATAAGAAAATGCTAGATAAAAATTGAAATTATAGTTTTCTTTTTGTCAAAAAATTAAAGTTGAAAAATTAAATTTGTAAAAACCAAAAATTTCTAAAATTAAAAAAATTTGAAAACAACAAAATAATTCCAAAAAACTTAAATTTACAAAAACACATAATTTGAAGTTTAATATAAATATTTAATTATATTTTAAATTTTCATTTCGGAAACCATCCTAGATTAATATAAATAATTCCAAAAAATTAAATTTAAAATTCATCTAGGTTACACTTGCAATTTTAAATTTCAAAATTAAATTAAAATTAAAATTTACTAGTTAATGTTGGGATATTACCGAAAGCAGCATTAAAATGATTCTCCATATAAAAAAATATAATATATGTTGTTTATGTATTTCATTCTAAATTTTGTTAATTTTTTCCTAACAAATATATTGGTTTCAAAATATATAATTTTGGAACTCTATATACCTTACATTTTCAATTATCTTTTAGAGATTAATAAAATTTTTTAATTTTAGAAACTTTGGGGTTTTAC